GATATTTTTTGTGTTGTAAACTGCATAGAGAGTCCTATGGGAGTATTAGTGTGGCATAGAAGCTAAATAAATAAATAAAATGAATACAAATGCATTTCCAGAGAAGATTATTTTTTAACCCCATGCAGTCCCTGGGCTAGAAACTAAGAGGAAATAATTAACCTATAAATACAGTGCACAGTTCACATTACAAACAACAAATGGAAGGAAATAGTGAAATGATGCCAGAGACTTGAAAATATAAATGGAAACACTGGACAGGTTTCCAATATATGTTGATGACATATGTGATGCCAGGAAGAATTTTTATGACTACAGATATCTGGTTGTTACAAAGTTAATTTTTTATTATGGCCCTCAGACTTTTCTTTGTTTGGCAGGATATAACATGAGAATGTTCCATTTAAAATTTTATCTGCTGTTTTACTGGTAGTTGCTATGTTGTTTCTAATTGTTTCTAACCTTTGGATTTTAATGTTTTCTAATGTTCATATGCTGCTTTGAAGACTGATCTACAGAAAGGCTGGATTTTAAAAAATGCAGAAGCTGATGAAACTATAAATAAAGTATATTAAATACCTAAATCAAACTAAGCAGAGCTTCCTATTGGCATTAAGACTTAATCACGACTACTTTTTACTGTACTTTTGCTCAAGGCTCTTCTGCTGCAGCTGTTTTATGATGTAAACTGGCAGCATACAACTCATGTAGGAGAGCAGTTTGACAAAATGACCTGGTTTGCATGACAGAATAGCCCACCATGGCTTAATTCATCACTGGAATTGTTGCATTTTGCCAGGTGTCTTTTTGCGTGATATTCACTGACAGCTTACCATGGCTTGTTGTGTCTTGCAAACTCAGCTAGCAAGGGTTAGACAACACATGGCTTGTTGTAGGGTAACTTGAGGGTTGTCTAACCTTCGATCTTGCTGCTTGGGTCTCATGACAAGCCATGACAAGATGAGCACGTATAGTTGCTATACAAAAATGGCATCCACAAATGGTCTGCCGTGATACAATTGCACCTATAGGTAAATGAAGCTACAGTTGGCTTTTGAGATTTATTAACAGGCTCAGTATTTCAGTCCATTCTTTTAAATTAGGGTAGGGACCCGTACTCAATGTGAAAGTCTGCATTGCATACTTTAAATTAGAAGGTGTATTTATCAAGGAAAGTAACTTGAATTACTATTGTTTCTCCCACACCGTTGGCAGCTGTGGACAATAAGGAAAGAAATGTTTTTGTTTTTATAGCTGACAAGTTGTCTCCAACTTATAGTGGCTGTATGAACGAAAGCCTTCCAAAATGCCCAATCCATGACAGCCCTCCTCAGCCCTTGCAAATTCAAGGCTGTGGCTTCCTTTATGGAGTCCATTCATCTCTTATTTGGTCTTCTTTTCATTTTTCTACCTTTGGATTTCCCTAAGAAGGTGCTTTGCAGTCTCATGATGCACCCAAAATATGAAAGCCTCAGTTTTGTCAATTTTGCTTCTAGGGAAACCCCTGGTTTGATTTGACCCGCCTGTATGTCTTTCTGTCAGTACAGGGTATTCACAATGACAGAAGTGGATTGCATTAAATATCTAAACACAAATGAGCTACATCCCAGAGATTACAGGAAAATTTCAACTTTATGGACCTTGCGGGGTGGGGGGCAGTCTATTGTGGCCCAGTGCTAATACTAATTACATTGCATTTATGTAAAATGACCAGTAGTTACAATGCACAAGTGCTGGTGTACACTGGTATAATGTCATTTGCACTAGCACTGGGTCACTAGCACTGAGTCACACTTGGATACTACCCCAAGGATTTTTCTGGCCTATGCCTATTATACACTGTCCATTTCAGTGGTTTTACATGAACTTTAAATTGAATGATTTATTACATCCATGTTGAGCCCATGACAAACATATTGTTTATTAATTCATCTAATTAATTTGTGCCTATCTGGAAAAATGACACTCAAGGTCATTTGCACATCCATTTACATGTCATACAAGACAAAGACAAGAAACTCTAAAAGCTAACCACACAAAGGCATTCTCTTTTAATAGCTATCAGAGACTTCCAGTAATTCAAGGTACCTGGCAGCATTAAGTGGTTATTTTCAGGAAAACAGAACATATCATGGGGATCAAAAATGATTGCAGCTGCCATATTATAGACTCTCAAGTCTATATTGTCTATTATCTAGGTATAATATCTCATACTGTTGGTTGTCTAATAGCCTAGATGGTACTTTATTGTTGATTTGATTAATTAATAAAATAATCATTATAGACTATCCTTAGTTATTGGTAAATCTGTCTTGATCTATATGCTAAAGGGCAGTGTTCTCTGACATGGAGATATATTTCCGCCTTTATAAACCTTCATAATCTCCATTGGGCAAATTCCAGTACAAGAGTTCATTCACTCGTTTGCTCACTCTTATTATGCACATCTACTATAATACTCTAACATAGCTTTTAAATTAATATTTGCAAAGTTCAGGGAACAACAGATTAGCAACGTGGATACTTAAAGCAGCTGAAAGAACTCACCTGGTAGAAAAGCATACTTTGGTGTATGTTTTTAGGAAGAATGCTTAATTACATTTAGCTTCACTTAAAGAGTCACTCAATCTGAGTCACTGGGTCCTCATGTCCCTCCAGTCCATGTCAGTGCCATTTTGCCCAAACAGCACTTTCCTTTATGCAAACAGGTTGAGCATCTTCCTTAGATGTCGAGCCACATGGATAATATTTACTATGTTGAGCTATCATCATGACATGGTCATTGAGCAGCAGGGAAGCCAGTGGATGGTCCCATCCTCATGTGTGTACAAACACATACCCTTGAGGCAGGCCTACAACATGCTGTAGGATATTGTTGCATGCCGTGTGTGGTCTGCTGTAAGCTGCTTAAGCTGTCCTGCTGCTCTAAGGGAGGGGAAGGGCATCTTCTCTTTGCAACTGTCTTGCCGCCAGGGCTCCAATCCTGCCTTGGCAGCCAGCCCTGCCTGGGGCAGCCAGCTCACTCCACTTAAAAGTAGGGCAGACCCAATGCTAAGCTGTATATACCTGAGGCGGTCAAGCCACAGGTGAAAATGCTGTGAAGAGAGAGTTCTGATAGTGGTACTTTAGGAAGCAAGAGCCCCAGTCCTCCATTGATCCATGTCACCTTAGCTGCTGGCTACTTTCATCACATGTTTATCTGAATAAATAGAAATAAATAGATCGCCCTGCATTGGAGGATGGAATGTTGCCACTGGGCCTAAGTCTGTGGCCACCAATGCTTCAATAACTAAATCATGGAAATAACGTTAGCCATTTGTATGAAAATGGCTGCTCCCCTTATCCCTCCCCTCAGCTGCATCACCTTTTTATCTGTGCTTCCTCCCATAAAGGCTGTATAGGGCTCAGCAGAACTGATCAGAATAGATGGCAGCTATTAGCAGATGCCCTATTGAACATGAATACAAAGAGTTCCAGGGCTCCATTAATTTTACATTCTTTAGAAAGCAACAGATCCAGCCTCCAATAATACTTAACGCAAATCCTCTTATATGAAACATATTTTGCTTTCATATTTAATTAATAACTACAGAGACTTGGGGCACAGTGGCTTGGTTTGGTGCATAAAAAGTGTAAAGAATATTATCTAAGAGTCTTTTCTTTATAGAAAGGACAGTAATAAGCTCGGGAAAGGAAAATGGAATGATCTTCAATGGAAAAGGCTGGTGTGACATTCCATTGTAAAATGGAACATTTGATTTTTTTAAAGCCTGCATTTTTTTTAGAAATTTCCCCTTTTCATTGTGTTGGGCATAATGTTATTTGTTTATATTAATGGCCCAGACATATTAAAATTATTCATGAACTATTCATCTTTTTCAGTTAACCATTTATTTATTTATAGGATCAGATTTCATTCTCGGTAGCCTTGGCTTAGACAAAGCTCTCATGGGTTTCCAAGAGTGTATTAATTGCTTAAGGCTTCCAGGAATAATATTGCGTAGTTTTATCAAACACAGAATTTATTTCAAAGGTTTCATTTGATATGAGGCATAGTGCATAATCTTTCCATCATGGTTGTGTCTTTCAGCCATTGGAGCTCCATGGTTGGGATCCCAGAAGTTTTTGCCATCTATTGCATCCTAGCATGCGTTTCCTTAACTAAGCTTGATGGAGAGAGATGGGTCAACTGGATGCAGGGTGCTTGTGTGGAGGACAACCCTATCTAGTTATGCTCTGTAAGGTACATTTCAAAACCAAAATTAGCACATGAATACTAGTGTGTTGTCCCCTGCAAACATAGACCTGGAAGAATAAGGATGTACTCATATACCACCATTTCTTGGGTAAATATGTAATTTTTTTAAGAGTTCCTCAAAAATATAAAGTGTGAAAATGGGCATCTGAGAACACCTCATATCTTATGGGCAAATGCATCAGATGATGAGTAAATATTCTGTGCAAGTCTATGTTTGAAGCTATATAATAAATGAAGTAGCACATTTTCAAATAATAAGTGCAATATGGAATGTATAAAACAGAAAACACAATGCAAATCTTCAACAGGTGAAGTCTGAATGCAAAGGGGAAAACACTTCTTATTCAAAATTGTGTGCAATTCATGCAAAGAAAGCTTTCTCTGAATAAATGCCAAACTACAAGCTAGCAACAGAGTTGAGGTTTAAAATCAACCAATAATTATATCAGTACGTATGATTTCTCCTTCCTTTTACTCCTTCAGCTTCTCTGTCTAAGCTGGAGTTGCTGAGCTTATGTGACCAAGGCTATTTTTAGAGGTGTATAATGATGATCAAGCTTCACTAACCAGTACAAATTCCAGCTGCTGGAGAAGGGCTGCTTCTTGCCTTAAAAACAGAACACAAAATACCTCACCCTGTAACAAAGCTGCGATTTTCCTCCAAAACCAGAGATCATGCTAATCGGTAGAGTAGAAATCACTTTTCCCCTAGATAATTAGAACATCAAGATTGTTACAGTACCTTCTGCTGCAATCTCAGTCATAATGGTGACGGTCAGAAATGCTCTTGGTGAAAAGGTCACGTTATATTGGCAGCTGAGTGGCTGCGACAGGGTCGGGGCTGCTGGCTCTTGCAGGAGACAAAGAATTAAAAGATGGGAAGTTCTTCGCCGTTCTTACTTTCTTGGGGGACTTTTTTTCTTCTTTCAAACTATCTTCTCTGTTCAATCCTGCCTTTCCTTCCCCACCTCCCAAGAAACTGACTCCTTTCCTAAGGCAATGCTTGCAGCCCCAACTAAAGTATCAGCTTCTAACAAAAATAGCCATGGCTCTCAGCGTATTCCTAGTGCAGCTTTTTTGGCATCCTGGGCACCACACACAGGGGCTGACTTATTTATTTATTTTTAAGCATCCAGCTCCAAATCAGACAGCAAAGCAGCTAAAAGCAGCAACCACCCAGAAGAGCTGGGAAAGAACGGTCAAAGTCCCCTGCAGCTTCTTTAATACGACTACCGCTCTTTTGAGGTCTAGGTCAGAAAATATGAAATATAGACTTGACGGTAATCTTATCCAACCAAGCTCCAATGTATTCTTAGCACACTCTTAGCACATTCTTTCCGGGCCTTATTTGGATTGGGGAGGGCATAGTGAAGCCAGCTACAATGACTAGAGAAGAAGATAAACTTAGGTAAATTTCAACTCCCTGAGCTTCCTCCAGACAGTGACGTACCTCATCGTACCCTGCTCCAGTTTAGTGGTTTTCCCATTGGTTACTCAGAAGATCAGAACAGAGCAAGGTGCCTCTCTTCCACCATCTAATTCCTTAAACTAGTGACCCTACATATTAGGAAGGATGGTGTGTTGTTTGACATAAGATGCTTGTAGAGTAATTCTTGCGGTGCATCTAAAAAAATGTAAGCACTTTGTAATGGCTGAGAGACCTGCTTGGAGGTCTCACAGGAACAATGAGATACATCCATCGCCCATGCAAATGCATGCTAAGGCTCCTGTTCACCTTGCCTGTGATACCATGGCAATTTGCTGTCTTGAGCCGCAGGATATTTTGGGAAATGGCTAGCTTGGAGCGAGCCAGGCTATCCCTGCCAAGCCCGTAGTGTACTGCCGGGGCATTGTGTCTCTCCAAGCCCACGTGATTGGGTGTCAGGTAACATGCTAAGCCTTTGCAAGCATAATAGGATGTGCTTCATTGCTCACATGATTTATTATGTGGTTGTTTGGGACATTTATATGTTCCTGCCATGAGCTAGTCACTTCTGTGAGGCTCCAAAATGCAAGACAGTACAGATCTTTATTGAAACCTCACAGCTAACAACAAGACAGTATAACTCTAAATAGTCTTATGTCAAGCTGAAAAGATAAATCTCTGCTTATGTACAGAACTGAGCCCAAACTGGACATTTGTCCAGTCCCTCACTTTCAAATATACTGTGATTCTACCATCAGGGTGGCCCTTGTTGGTGGAGAACCAGTTGGCAAGATCTCTGCAAGCCCTCCAACTGGATAGCTTATCAATCTCTATGGCTCATAATGGGATCAAGAACTGGGTGCTGCACCTGGATTCCCTCCTTTCCTGAAACCCACCTCCTTTCTTTCAAAACAGGTCAGCCTGGGAAACCAGGAATTCTGAGGAAGTTTCAAAGGCTTCTGCTCCTCCCTTGCTCCTGCCTCCCATCACTTCTCCTTCCGGTTCAGAATCTGATAATGTATCTCATTGAAAAGTCATCAAAGAGAGAAGTGCCTGGCCTGTTACAATTCCATCTTTCAGGAGACATCATGCTTCTCCCCCATAGTTCATCCTCACGCTAGCCCTGAGAGGGAGGGAATGACTGGACAAAGGCTACCTACTAAGCTTCATGGCTGGGGGGAGATGCAGAATTGCACCCTCCTGTTCTAGTTCACAGATAAGGAGGCCATTTGGGGAGGGATCCTTGCAGCAAAGGTAATGCCTACCTTTGTCCTATGTCTCCGGTGTACTGGCCACTAGTTTTTCTTTCAGCGGGTTCCCCATGAGTCAAAAATGTGTTTTGCAAGATGTGCATTCCCTTTTAGCACACCAGCACTCCTGTCTGCCCTGCATCTACCCAACGGTGGGCCTGCATCTTCCCAAATGCACTTGGGAAGTCCTTCCCTTTCAGTTTTTTTCCTGACATGCATCCATCATTCTTAGTGGCAAGATCCCACACAATCCCCTAAATTTCAATAAGACATAAGCACACTTAATTTCCGTGGATGAATTTAGCCCTAATTACTCCATATAATAATACCAAAATCATTCTTCAACTGTGGATCCTTATATAGCCAAAATGGCAGTATCCAGGTAGTGCCCATTATGAAATGTCCTGTTGTTCTAATGGCAGTATGAATGGCACAGTTTGGGGACTTCCCAAATATTCCATACCTGTGTTGAACTCAAATGAGTGAGATGCACAAGGAGGTGTCCTTAGAACTTCCACTGTAACTATGAATGCCCCTTCCTTTTTCCATGCTTTGGCCTAGCTGCTTTGCAGAAATGTTGTATTCAGGCTCCTTTCCTTCATGGGGCTTGTTGCTAGCAACTGGTCTGAGTATTTATAATTTATATTTCATTCAAGTTGTGTTTATTCTGGAAGTTTTACATTCAAGCCAGCATGAACAACAAAGTATAGGAGTGGCGTGAGTTTAATATGAGGAAATATCTTCTAATTCTATAATAAAATACTGCTCAAACTACACAATATACAGACGAAATAAAAATTCAAATGACATTGAGATATGGTTTCTTTTTCTTGTTTTTCTCTTTTTTGCAAGTAACTTTTAGCCAAAGGAACATATATAGAAAATCTATATGTCTTTCCTAGTATACTTATATGCCAGAAAAGGTCTGCTTTTTCATTAGTTGGAAACTGATAAATGAACCATTTTGAAGAGGATAAGGACAGATTCATCCTTCCCTTACTGCAGTGTAATAATTATGAGCAAATAAATGGTAATCTTCCATGTCTTTTATTAAACAGGGCAAATAGGACAGTTATCGATGCTTTAAAACCAACCAAGCTGGTAATTAAAGTGCATTAATTACATTCATAATCTTGTGCATGCCACACTCTCAATAGATAAGGAAGAACATTGCTCAAATACTTCTCTGTCTAAAAGTTATTACATACAGATTTTAGTGGGGAATTTTGACAGGTGGACAAAGATAGATTTTCTCCTTGACAATACACATATGAAAGAACAACAAATGCACATGGCTTCTCTGGCAGAAAAATACCCCAACATCCAGTTTGTTGTCTGTTTTTGTTCCAATGAAGACCTCTGAAAGAGTCACCACAGCTTGTACAATCACTAGAAACCCCAAGTTTTCCCTCTATTCCAGAATACCTATGGCAGACAATTGTTCTTTCTGCTACCAGTTACCTGCTTGGAGCACATTATCTGGAAATTCCTCACCTGGGATCTCCCCATGCTGTGTCACCTTCACTGTTTTATTAACCTCATGTAGTGAATTTTCCTACTCCAATGGCAGGTGCAAGTAAGAAAATGCACTCAATGGTTTATTTCTTTAACAATATTTATAAATCACTGATATTAAAATAAATGCTTAGGCACAAAACAAGGCAGTGTAAAATCATGATAAAACACTAGTGTCCTCGGAAGAAAAGAGTACATTGTAGGAAAGCTTGTTGGAGCAAGCACATTTTCGGTAGGTGCCCCAAACCCAGAAGGGTTGGCACCTTTCTGATTTGTGTTAGTATGTTGTTCCGTGAAGTGTCATGCTGAAAGTTCTGTTCCAAGCCGCCATGGACCAGACCTCCAAAATTTTAGACACCACCAGGGGCATATCTTCATAAACACAACAACTGAACAGGCAGTGAGGGGGTATCGGATTAATCTACAGTATACATTTAGAGCAGGATAGGTTTTTGCCATGCTTTTCCATCATTTGGCCCCAGGATACACGTGATCCTAAGGATATTCTGTCCACTGCTGAAACTCTGGCTATCCATGTAATTCTGCACTCATAGGTATAGTATTCCCATAATATAGAATTACTACTGACACACAGCATACAGCATAAGTGATGACATAACTCTGTGGATAATGCCAGCATAGGCATTTCATCACTTTAACACTTGTCTGAATTCTAGATACCCTGCAGTTATGGACATTTTTAGCCATCACTTTAATAGAGCTAAATATTGCACTGTAACTTAGATTTGAGACTGGCAGAGTATTTTACTTTCTCCTGGGCTGTTGGCCTGACTATGTGAAAGACTGAAGATAAATATGAGGTCAATTTCTGAAATGCTTAAATAAAACTTATACGTCTAGGACTGCCCATCTCATGTTTACAACTTGCATTTCGGAGGACTGAAAATCATTACATCACTACGTTGGATGTATATAAATATGTGTACTGTATTTTGGAATTACAATGTTTTCTAAGACAGTAACACAGTGCTCCTAAGGAGAGAGGGGAGATCCTGTAATGAGGAAATCACTTGAAACCCAGTGGTTGGGAAACTAAGTATGCTGGCTTCAGACCTTTCCAGCTTCACACACAATGGACATCCCATTTTGGGCCCCATTCCTTGGAGCACTAGGGGCATTAGTGCAAAGACAGGGAAACATTCCATTGTGGCACCATGAGGTCTCCAATGTCATACTTTCCTCTCTGTCTGTGGACTTCCCCTCAGTCTACATTGATGGAGGTCCGAAATAACCAATGGCTCTTCTGTACTTTTCCATAGATCTTGGAATTCCTCCTTAAGGAAAGATTTGTTTATTTACTTAATTTATTTACTTATTTTTCCTAACCCTTTTCAAGGAGGTGGTGAACATGGGGTTACCCCATTCATTTATATCAGGATTACTTTTGTGCCGATAAAATATAAGGTTCTTCTGAATTCAACTAAAAATCTATTATATTATTGTTGTTGTTGTTGCATTTTATACCCCACTTTTTTTTTTTTTTTTTGCAAGGAACCCAAGGTGGCTTATATGGTGAGGTAGGTTAGGCTGAAAGTCTCTGATTGGTGCAAAGTTACCCAATGATCCTCATGGTTAAAGGGGAACAGGAACTGAGTTCTACAGTCCAGCTATTAGGATCTGAGAATAAATTGTCTCCTTGGTGGCCTGACAGAGAAAGCAACTTGGTCCACCTTGCAAGTACTTTCAGGACTGGTGTCTGTTCTGTCGGTGCTTGCAGTTTGATTTTCACTGTAATCATGGAGACCAGCTGGGACCCACAGGAGATTTTCTAAAGGCTTCTTGGGGCTGACCACTTTTGTTACATCAGCACGAATCTTTTTGGTGGCTGTGGCTAGTTCTGGAAAGTCTTCATTTGCGTCTTGAATCCTACCTGTTCCTGACTCTACTTTTGTCTTGTTGGTATCTGACCTTTACTTCTTCCTGACCCCACCTTTGCCTCTGCCCCTACTGTATTGTGCCAATTTCTTGATCCTTCCTTGTCACTCCTGGTTCTGGTGTTCCAGTTGAGGACGCTTGCTGCTTATGTCTTGCAACTAACACCAACATTTCATCCATAGCACGGGCTCCAGGTAG